ACAATTTTCTACTGTTACAATATAAAACTTTTTACATTTTTTAATACTTTTTGGTTGAGAACATTGGTTAGGATCATTTTATTAGGTACATTGTAACAAGTGATTTCATTTTCTTATTTGATAAAACAAAGTAATTTCATTTCTTCATCTGACAATATGAAGTAAGGTAAGAGCACAAATAATCAACACTAGTAGAACATCTTTCACCAGTTATCGTTGTCCCTGTTATCGATCCCACAAAAAGAAGTTACAACACTGGAAATCCTTAATACTCCAGTAATTGACAAAAAGTATCGAACACTGGAGAATAATAGGCATATGCATACCCAGTTATCGACACAGACACTCCTAAAATTTAGGTTAGAATCCAAGTAAGCAATGAAATTTTACCAAAAACATGTGTTCTAGAACTCAAAGATGCCTTACACAAAATGTTATTCACATCTTAACTATTTAACAAGCAATAACCTATTTTATACTTAGCTCCATACTTTAGAAAAACGAAATTCACAGGCACCATTTTTGTCTCTTACCTAAAACTGTGATTTTCGAGGATTTTTACAGTATTGTCAGGGACATTAGACTTTTGACCTATTAGAGAATTATGTACAAATCTGAATACATGCCACTATTTGAATTTTAAAGTGTCAATTACTGGTGCACTGTTAGTATATTGTGCCTAATAAATAAGGGCTCACAAGAGACACCAGCATCAACTTTGCACTTATGTCTTATGGCACTTTTCTATATATGTTTCCTAGAAACATATAGCATACCACAGATGGGATTCTATTAATGAAAAGTATATAGGGTTGTGGCACTACTTGTGGCCATTTGTTGCTTTTGGATCTAAAAATAAGCCATTGTCAACAATGTAAACTAAGTGGTGGTGTTAAAAGGTGAAATGAGCATGTGACAATAAGATTGGACAGGTTTGCAACTAATAAACTAAGGTCACTATAAATCAGTAAAATACATGTGCAATATATGCAAGCATTACTTGTTATTTTGGCTTAAAGTTTATCTACACACATCAGGACAAAAATCGGAATTTAATAAGGATATTTTTGAATATGCAATTTCCAGAGGTAGGTACTTTAATTAAGTATATATTAATACCCAATGTGTTTTGTATTCAACATGATATTTAGTAATGACTAAAAACTTAAAATTTGTGAGTTATGGCCACACTGGTGACCAAAAGTAAAAACCTCATATTTTACTTATAGGCACTGCAGTTATTGTGTGGGTTGAGAGGTAGATAGTAATTGAGTTATTTTATATTCTTTCTTTAACTTAATGTTAATATGCTGAAGCAGTTTGCGCTAACAAAAAGAAGAGGTCATAATTATGGAGGTGCTAAAACAGCATCTGAACTGTATAAAATTTCGCTATCAATTACGTATATTACATTTCTCATACCCAAAACACTACTAACAAAGATGACAAATTTGCAGGATGAGTCTGAGGCGAAATTACATCATGGTTCAGAAATTATTCCTACACCATCCTTGAATTCAAGTTCTTCTTGATGATCTCCTGTATCTTACACAGCTAAAGATGCTCAATCACCTTAACCTGTTCAAAGCTCAACTACATCAACCCCCACGATAACATCAACAACAACAAATTAATATTTAAAAATGCGACTTAAAAATTAGTGGCCATAAGTAAAGAATTAGTGGCGGACTGATGGCCAAGTATAAAGAATTTCTTACAAGTTTATTTAAAAATCTGATGTGTCCAACACATGACTTTCCTATCTAGTTATTACAGGCTTTTTCCGGTTATTTTGTACAACCTATTGCAACACCCCTATAAATGTTTAGAGGATAAACTAAATATATACATTTTCCACATACATCTCCCTCGAAACATTTTTTTATAGATATTCATTGAAAACGAAAATACTGAAAAATTTAAATTTAGCACTTTTTCTCCAATTTTTCCATTACGGTCCATTTTAGAAAAATAATTGTATACACAAAAATTATAGAGATCCATATCGCAAACAACTTTTAGTTCAACAATTTTCTTAAAAATCAGATTTTTGCACATTTTGTCAAATTTCTCGAATACGGACCATTTCAGGAATATTTGACAAAGCAAAAATTATAGATAATAATATTAGAAGTAACTTTTATTTAAACAATTTTCTTCTCCAAACATAAATAACAGATATATTCCATAAAATATAAAAACGGCCTCCCATAAAGTACCCCCCAGATGTTCCGACTTTGTCCAAAATCTAATCATTTCACGTCAGGCCGAAATAAAACTTAAGTTTAAAATTTAATGTTTTTTCTTTATCCGTTTTTGAGTTTTCTTCAAAATTCGAAATTTACACATTTTCTCAAATATCTCGAATACGGTCCATTTTAGAGAAATTATGTATAGGACAAAAATTATAGAGAATTATATTACAAACAACTTTTGTTTAAACAATTTTTATATAAAATTATTTTTTTTACATTTTTCAAATTTCTTGAATACGGACCATTTTAGGAAAATTTTGTATAGAACCAAAAATATAGATAATAATATTGGAAGTAACTTTTATTTGAAGAATTTTCTTCTCCAAACGTATATAACAGATATATTCCATAAAATATAAAAATGACCACGCATAAAGTACCCCCCCAGATGTTCCGACTTTGCCCAAAATCTAATCGGTTCATTGGACGCCGGAATAAAGCTTAAGTTTGAAATTTGGTGTTTTTCTTTGTATCGGTTCATGAGTTATGGTGAATACAGACACACACACACACACACACACAGACATCATCGCGAAAATAGTCAAAACAGATTCAGGGGACCTCAAAACGTAAAAATCCGTCAAAAACTCGAGGTCAAAAAAAATCATGATTCCTATACTTTCCTTATATGTATACAGATAGGAAAGTAAAAAACTGCAAAAAAGAATCACATGCTATTGACACAATAATGCATATATTCTTAAAAATTACATGCTTCAACCTATCAAATACTATTTTTATTTATTTTTTTCTGTTAAAATATAATTGATAAACAGGTCCTACAAAAGCAATTTTATCTTAAGTTGTGCCACGATCCTACTCCGAGATATACAACTAAAATATCTAAATTGTATGGAACAGTTCTTGCTGCAAAACGTCCCAAGGACAAGATCTTACATAAACTATTAACATGGATTTGAAATTTTAATGTGTGGACAATGCATAAGCCTAAGAATTTATTTTCGGTTTTTTTTGCAAATTTGTTGCTGTTCAACTGAAATTATACCGATATCGCCACTGAATGAGATATTTGTTTTTGATATGTTAAGAGGTGTACCTAAATAATTTGAATTACATCTAATATCATTGTTAATCATATTAGACAACTCTTCAATATTCTCACTCTGCAAATAGGGTGAAGTATCCAATAATATTGATAATAATATCATTAACATGAATTAAAAATAAAACCGGTCACAGAACGGATCCTTGAGGAACCCCACAGTTAATCGTAACAAGCATTAATGTTTGCTTATTGAAAGAAATTATTTGTACTCTAGGCTCTAAATAAGACTGGAACCATTTTAGAGCTATTCCTCGGAATCCATATGTTCTCTTTGAGTCAAATGATATTAAGTACATTATTTTACAAAATACAAAAAAATCTAATTACTTATATATTTTTTTATTTACACTCTATTACAGTAGCACTTAAATTTAAAAAATATCTGCTACCGAAACTTTAAAATTGACCCTTTAAACATTTTATGAAATAGGACATAATACCCTTTGGGTCTGTTACCATTTAAATTGAGGCATATTTTTTCTAGAAGGGAAAACATAGCATCAGTAGTATTTTTATCAGATTGAAACCCAAACAGGGATGTAGATAGCAATCTGTGTTTTTAAGAAAAGTCATCATTTTAATCTTAACCGATATTTCATTAATTTTTGCCAAAATGGATAAAAAAGAAATGGGCCAATAGTTAGTAAGACATATTATGATCACCACCCTTTGTGCACTGGTATGACATTGACTATTTTTAAAGAATCACTGAATGAACCTGTCCAAAATGAATGATTGATTGATTCTGCTAAAAAATTTAATGCATCTTCTTGAAGATGTAAAAGAAGATTAACTAAAATTTCATCCCAACCTTTTTTGTGATAGAAAAGAGATGTCCTTAATTTCTACAACATTAGTTGGCATAAAATAAATGGTTAATATTTAGATTATTTAAATAAGACAAAGCATCAGTCGAATGAGTTATTTGGGTGACAGACTTGGACCAACAGAACAAAAAAAGTCGTTGATTTTAGTAAGGCTTAAAGTGGTGACCAAGAGTTTAGACCTTTTATTTACTATTTACATCATATTTTCAAATCAAAAACACTAAAAAGTTTCGTCAAAAAAGCTACCACTTAATTTCATCATCAGGAATCATTCACGTGGCGCCCTCTGTAACAAAATGTGAAATGTACATAAAATAATATTCCATGTCCAAAGATATGCCTCTGTGCCCATTTTGATAACAGTTCATAAATATTCAGTGACATTATCAGAAAAAAACGAAAAAAAAATTCAACTTTAACTCCCTGTATCTTATTCCACAGCAATATTTTAAGGTATATTTGGTCCTATCGCCATATTTTGGTCCAAATAACCTACCCTTAGCCCAGTGATTCCCAAAGTGTCCGCGGCTGCAAAAACAATTCAAATTCCGGTGATTGCGTGGGTCACGCGCCAGCAGAAGGACCCGGGGTCATATAAGTTGTAATTTTTTTTATAGAAGCTCGCCAGAAAGACATACTTTTCTTGTCTTCTAGAAATTTCTGTTTCGTAAATCTTGCAACCCCAGTGCGCCTAGATAAAATTCTAAACCTGTAAGTGCGTCGCGCACTGAACAAGTTTGGAAACCCCTACCTTAGCCTATAACCTAATATTTATGAATCACCCTGTATAAAATAGATTTTTTTTTTCTTTTTAATTGTTTAACTATTTCTGTTCTCGTTTCAGTGATACCAATGAAGTGGTTGGGAGGTGGAGAGGGAGATGCCATAATAAAAGTCGAGATGGATCGTGGTCCGCATCGTACTCAAGACGATGCTGCAGTTGGTTATGTGTATCAGAGAGCACCAGATCCAGAGTTTCCTACTTTTGGACCCAAACAGCCAAGATGGGCTGGCGACGAGGGCATTATGGATGTAAGTCAAGTTTAATGTTTATTTTTTCTATATAGGGTGTTTCATTGGGAAATGCACGCACATACATTAAGGGTAGATAAGTGTCATCAAAGTGGTCCAGAACTTTTATCTAACAGTACTAGATAATTTCAAATATTTTAAATATTTTTTTGTAGACTTAAACAACTTTTAACAGTTGTATTCAAGTGCTGCTTTGATTAAAAAAGCTCTAGATAACATAATCATGATATTTTATACTTCCTTTAAGCACTATCTTTTTAATCTACAAATGTAAAGTTATAAAAATGAGCTTGCCAGTGAATAAAAAAATAAAAAAAAAATTATCCTTTTAACAGATACCTAACGAATGATTTTTTCATAAAAAAGTTAGTATTGTTGAAATAAAATAGGAATAGAATCATATTTCTCTGAAACTAATAAAAAGAGACATTATGAGAGCAAACTTTTCTAAACTACAATCAAAATTTGGATAAAAATGATTTTCTTACAAATTCTTTTGTTAAAGTTTGCAATCAGAAAACTAAATAGTCTCATATTTCCTTTTGATAAGCTGTCAAGGCATCGTGGCAAGTTCTATCTGTGCTTTCATTCTTATTTTTGTATTAAAGACTTGCAAAATTAAAGAATGTGTGTTCATTTGCATTATATTTGTAGAAATTCTCATTCACAAAAATCCTAAGATATTTTATATTGATTTGATTACAATATACTTCTCCATAATGCTAAACTATTCCTTTTGTTATCTTTTCCTTGTGCCAAATGAATGGATTATTGTTTTTCCTAACTTTCACTGCATGATTCGAAGTTCACAATTCATGATAGATGGATTTGTGGATTGTCACTTTTAATAACACATGTTTGAATAGACTTAAATTGCAAAATGCATATAATTGTGTAATTGAATGTTGTAATAAATACTTAATCTTAAATATATTTAACTAATAAAGTCCATATACATGTTTACTACATTAGTGAATACCTAAATAACGGGCTTTCTGCTCCCGCATGATAATAATAAGACTATTTTGGATTTTTTCAGGCATAGGGGAGAGGGTGGAGGGTTTGAACACTTTTCAATCTTTTGTATATAACTGTTTATTTAAACACATTTTATTAAGTCTTTGTGGGTTAAGCCATACAGTGTTCCTTAATATATATATATATTTTCTATTAAAACAGAATTAACTTTTATTAATATTTTAAAATAATTATCTAAACAACCCCACTACATTTGTTCAAATCCTCCCTTGGCTGGTGTGCCTTTGAATAGAAAAGGGGAGGGGTTGAACACGTCCAAAATGAGCTTTAAAATAAAAAAAAATTCAGAAAAGGCCAAATATATTTATTTACTTAAGCTAAGTAACATTTAGGTACATATTTTATCTTAAATCAAATTTATCAAAATACACATCGTTAAATCTGAATATTTTAGTAGCTCACAATGTGCCACCAGTGATTAAGGGGTTGAGGTTACTTTAAAATAATGCTTGACAAAGAAATAAGAGACACGTCGTCTATTTCAGGAAAACAAAAGATATTTTCTGAGAAATTTACCATTCAAATCATCTTCTACTCTCGCTTCTACTTGAGTCACATAGTGAACTATATTTTTTTGGAATAAACTTCATTAGAACAAAATTGTTTACTATAATAGTTTCTAAGCTTGCCGTAGCTAATTTTTCGGAAGCTTTCAAATCTTATCAGTGCTGTTATCATGAACAGACATATAATCCTCTTCTGCACTACTACTGTCGCTCTGAAAAACTTTTTCTCTTAACAACTTTTCTTTTATCATTTTCCTTAATTTTTTTTTTTAATAAAGAAATTACTTCATTCTCTAAGCTACTGCCTTTTTTCTGTTTTTTTTTTTTCTTTAAAACGATCCCATAGTTTCATAATTTTTTTTACAGTTTGCTGCATCATTTCTTTCTCAATACTGTCTTTTACAGGGGTATCTGTCATTATTTTTGTAGAACCTTTTTTTACTTTCCGGAATGAATTGACCAGTTGTAGGCAAAGAAATAATAGTGTCCACATTGCTAGTTTTTTCTTCAAAGGTATTTGGAGTTGGTCTATCTGTAACCTAAGAGGCATCGAAGTCTGTATCACTAAACGCATTCTGATTAACTGGCTATATTCCAGGATTCCTGAAGCTTTCTTTTATATTGCCCTTTTTCTTGTACATTTAAAATATAAATATATTTAGGTGTCAATTCAAAATATTATTTCCTAATGGGGATATTTTGAACAGTCTGGGTAGGCTTTGAACATCGTTCAAAGTCTCCCCGGGCTTGTAGTTCAAAGCCTCCCGATGGCACTTTTTCTCAGAAAATTGAATTACATTTTATGCTTATGAATATTTAAATATTCTTGTAAACTTACCTCAAATATATAGGGATACGCTCAAACAATAGAACAATTAAACACCATTAACAGATTTAAAAATATATATGTTGTAAGGATGATCAAAATGAACAAATGACGAAAATATATTCACCTAACAATGACCTAACATTATCTGGTAAATCCCCGCGTACCTAACGACAGGCGAAGAGGACAATGTTGCCAGTGTATTCCGATTTTCACAGACGACAAGAAAATATTTTAGTAGAAAATATTATATTGTTCAAAACCTCCTCGTGTTCAAACCATCCACCCTCTTCCTTACTTATAATTGTTATATTTCCAATAAAAGATCCATCTTTTAATGTGTTTATAAGCATTTAATAAATTAAAATTTCTAAGTAAAATTGACAAATGTATTGCCACTTGTAAGAATATGAACGAGTATCTCATAAAATGTATAAACTTAAATGGTTAAAAATGAATAATAAACATCAATATAATTTTATTAATTTCTTGTATAATGTCATAAAAGAAAATAAACCAAAAACTCTTTTAGATAAGTTAGTTGTGAGATCAGCAGTGCACCCTCTAAATGTCCGCTCTAGAAATCTTTTTCACATTCCTCGTCACAATTCCGCCATGTTTCAGAAATCATTTACCTACCAATCTGTTTAAATTTATAAAGAATACTTAATGAAGCAAATACATTATTCACAACAGTTTCAAAAAAAAAAAAAAAAAAAAAAATATTTACTCTCACAGCAATTTTAATTCTTTAAACTTTACTATTTTAAATTAAATTAAAAAAAAAATAATCCGTTCTATTATATTTTATGTTTCTACTATTTTTTTTATTTTTTTTTTTTCATGTCTAGTTTTATTTTTTGAACTTTATTATTATTATTATTTTTTTGTGTCATCGACATCAATTGCTAAGGTTATTTGCCTCGTATTCTGTGTAGGCTTTGTTATTGTTTCCCAGCTCCACTTTAGGAACAGCACTGTTAATTAGAACCAAGGCATTAGAATTAATTTTAAATAATTAAATTAAATAAAAAATCCCTGCCAACGGTGGGATTCGAACCTGGGAGCCTTGGATCTGCAAGCAGAGACTCTAAATAGAAATAAATTAGAAGTTTCGAATTTGTTGTTACTAGCCGAATTGGCCTTTTACTGTTTTGGTTAGTTATCCACATAATAAGATACAAAATGTGATTCTAAATTTCAATTTATATAAACTTATAAATTTAATGGTATTCAAAAACAGCTTAAAGATGTTCGACCAAGTTCCTTCATCCAGGAGTCTGGGTTTCATCCTATACGCGTCGGTCTCTGTAGGGAAAACGACATAAAAATTGATTTTTTTTTCTTAATAGGGATATACAGGGCCATTAACACTATAAATTAAAAATAATTTGGATTATACACGGTGACCCAAAAATAGGAATTTATATCAATGTTATGTTTTTTTTTAAGGGAACACCCTATGTTTAATGGTGTCTTGATTCACCGGAAAAAATAAAGTAAAGTTTCTGTAATGTTTCCTATACCTATCTTTTTTCGTTTTTGAAACCTTTAAAGGATTCTTAATTTGTAAGCTTGAACAACATAATCTAGTATGTCGCGGTTATTTAAATCACATCAACAGTCACCTGCGATATGTGAAGCCAAGATATTAGAATATAGAATAAAATGCAAATTTTTCCATTGCATCATTCAGTTAGTCTAATTGAATTCAACTTACATATGGAGTTGAATAATATTCTTATTTTAAATGGCATACCCTGTATTTAATAACTTAAACTGATAGACATTTAAATTATCTTTCATTCCATATAAGATTTCCATATACCTAAATTCAACGGTTTTTTTAGTAAATATCTGTTTTTATGTTCAACATAGCTAATTTTTGTAAATACTTTTTCCCGTCAAAGTGACTATCGAATTTAAATGTCAAATGCGAGTTTGACATTCCTATTCAGTAAGTTTTACATATTCTACAGCAGAGAGAATTGATGTGGTGCTTGTTCTTGGTGTCATGAAAACTGTTTATTGGCTTCTAGAGTTTACGGCCAAAAATACCCAGATCGAGAGAAACCTTACAGACGTGCTTTTGAAAGATTTCTACAAGTTTAAAGTTAGCGGAAATGTAGATTATAAAAAATTATTCAGGCTCAACCTATTGTAGGAGATCATGATAATGAATTTTGGGTTATTGGCCCACTAATAGAAAACCCACACACAAGTCATCGGGCTATTAGTAGAGAAACTGGAATAAGTAGAAGAAGTATTGGACGAATAATAAAAAAACAAAAATTTCATCCTTATAAGATACAGCTGCACCAAGAACTGTATCAAAGGGACTTTCAACAAAGAATCGATTTTTGTTTATGGATTATGGATTTTTTTGATAATGTTCTGTTTTCAGACGAGTGCACGTTTCATAATAATGGACTCGTTAATCGCCATAACTTTCATTATTATAGTGATGAAAATCCTCACGTCTTTCGTACTCTCGATCATCAGCATAGGTGGTCATTGAATGTGCGGGTTTACATGTTATTGGTCCTTATTTTTTTACCGGTCATCTTAATGGCAGAGAATTTCTAAAATTTTTGCGGAGAAAGTTATCTGGGCTCCTTAATTATGTACCTACCTTTAAATACTAGGCAGAAAATGTGGATGCAGTTGGATGGAGCCCCGCACATTTTCAACTTCGAGTACGGCGATAGTTAAACCGGCGTTTTATTAAAAAATGGATCGGAAGAGGTGGTCCACATAATTGGCCTCCAAGATCTCCAGACTTGACGTCGTTGGATTTTTTTTATGGGGCATACAGAGTATAGTTTATAACACCCCACCAACTACTCCGGAAGATATGAAAGCTAGAATAAGAGCTGCTTTTCAGAAGTTCTGTTCAAAGTGAAACGATTCTTTGAAAAACGAGTTCAATTGTGTTTAGAATAAGATGGGCGTCACTTTGAACATTTTTTATAATTAATGTTTTGTTTTCTTACTCTTTGTCATTTGTGTGTAGTTTTCAAATAATTCAAATTTTCTTGTCATTAAATGTTTTTTTTTTATTAAAAAAATAGTTTTGGTTTACATTGAAACTATTCATTAAAAAGTGATAAAAAATTTTATTTTGAGTGATATTTGCTCTATGGTTACTATGATTAAAAAATAATATGATAAAATGCGTATGTTAAAAATAAAAAAAAACAGCTATTTACTAAAGATCCATCGAATTTAGGTATAGGGAAATCTTATATGGAATGAAAGATAATTTAAATTTCTATCAGTTTATGTTATTAAATACGGGGTCTGCCATTTAAAATGGGAATATTATTCAACTCCATATGTAAGTCGAATTCAATTAGACTAAATGAGCACCCTGTATGATGTAATGGATTTCATTTTATTCGATAGTCTAATATCTTGACTACGCATATCGCAGGTGACTGTTGATGTGTTTTAAATAACCGCGACATACTAGATTATGTTGTTCAAGCTTACAAATTAAGAATCCTTTAAATGTTTCAAAAACGAAAAGAGATAGGTATAGGAAACTTTACTTTATTTTTCCTAGGAATCAAAAGACCATCAAATATAGGGTGTTCCCTTTAAAAAAACATAACTTTGATATAAATTCCTATTTTTGGGTCACCCTGTATAATCCAAATTATTTTTAATTTGTAGTGTTAATGACTCTGTATATCTCTATTACGAAAAAAAATTCATAAGTCGTTTTCCCTACAGAGACCGACTCGTATAGGATGCGCCACCCTGTAGTATCATATATTTTTTAATACTGGATGCTTTGCTAGCTTCGAATTTCGAATGAAGCTAACAGAACACCTCGTTTTCTTAAAGTTTTTTTTTTATTCTAAAAACAAATATATCACATTTTAGGATATGTTTAGGCTTTTGAAATATTAAACCTTCCGAAAAAAAAAAATATATTTAAAAAATAATAGCAGAGCTCTAAGTTTTTTAAATCGCCATTTTTTTTCGAAATGTTTTATGTTTCAAGATCCTAAAAATGTGACAAAAAAAGGTTCTCAGTTGGCATCGTATTTAAAAACGTCGAAAAGATTAATTTCAGTAGCTTAAAAATAGGCTAAAATGTGGTGTGCTTGTTTTTAGAAATAAGCTTCGTTCGAAGCTAGCAAAGAACCTTGGATTTTTTAAAAATAATATTTTTTTTAGAAAAGTTTTATGTTTAGAGAGCCTAAAAATGTGGTGTGATTATTTAAAAAATATGTATTTATATAACCGAGAAGCTTGCTGGCTTCGTTCGAAGCTAGCAGAGCACCTCGATTTTTGTAAAAATAATAACTATCAAAGAGTTTAGGAATCACACTTTGAATTAAAATTGGCCTGTAATTAGTTATATTTGATTTGTCAATTGGTACAATAATACTTGATTTTCAATAATTAGGAAACATTCCATTACGAAGTGAAACATTAAAGATAATATGTAGTAGACGGGATATAATGAAACTGCAAGCTTTCAATAATGAAGGTGGCAAGCTATCAGGACCTGTACCCTTGCTCAGATCTAAACAGCTTAGCTGTTTAAATATTTCGGAAATAGATATGTGATAATCTACAGTATTTAAGTGGACTGAATATGGTTGATCGCTATAGACTGAGCTACAGTAATCTTGAAACAATTTAGCTAAATCTGTACCTATAGATTCTGTAGAGCATCTAGTATTGTTATAGTACATTTCGTTGAGTAATTCATTCTTTTTGAATAGACAAAAGTCCAGAATCTCTTAATATCAACAGATAAGGATTTAGTAAATCTATTGTAATCCTGTTTACACTTAAGTTTACATTGAAGAATATCGAGTAGTCGCTAGAAGATCCACTAAATTTAAATCGAAGGTGGATCTCCTTCTTTAGAATTATGAGATTCTTCAATTCAGATGAAAACCATCTGGGAAATCATGAAGGGATAACTTTTCAATGGTACAAAGAAATGAATGACAATACACAAATTCATAAAAAATATTTACTAGTCATTTATTTAAGAATAGTGAATCTCACTGAATTAATCTCAGATGATTGATATACAATGGATCGAAAATCTGCGAATTTGTAATCATAGTAATACTCATTAGCTAAGAGCTAAATGTGACGAGTTACAATAATTTATGGCAAGGTTCA